AAAAAAAAAAAAAAAAAAAAAAAACCTCCAACTTATAAACACGAACCAGCATACAATCGTCACACTTACGTAGATACGATAAGCTTATCAAGCATATCTCTTACTTTCATATGCTAGCTCGGATGTTTCTATAGTGTTTTCTATTCAAGCGCTACTAACGGTAGTTTTAATCGCGACCACAATTAGTAGGCGATTTAAACTACTTGTCTCCCTAAATTGCCAATATTCATCGTGGTTCAGGCTTCGAAGAGGCATTTAATTTCAATTTGATTGCACTTTCGTCTCAGCAATACACGCAACAAGAGACGATGCGGTACGCATCATACACGGACACAAACATGTGGTAAAAGTAAAAGATTATCAGTCCCACAACTAATCCCGCGCGCGGGACTAATAGCCGCTAATATAATAGTTTTATTATGTATACGTTAAAAATACAAGAGAGATTCAGATAAAAGGTCGAAACGTTTCTATAATTGCTTGTCTCATGCTCACGGCAGTCTATGAGTCTCAGTCGCTATTGTCGCGGTGATTACACTTCTAAGTGTGCGTAAGTAGTTTGTAAATGTTTTACACAAAATATACGCGTTCAGCGTTAGGCTCCAATTTTTTTTGATTTTTACATCATGCAGAGGCACGGTTGTCCTAAAAGCGATCGTCTTGAATGGAAAACAACATCCGGAAGCGGATTTGTACGTGGAGCAGGAGGCACGGCCACAGTGTCCTTTAGCGCACTTTGCTGACTTATATATATTTTAGGGCACTACTCTACGGGGAAGATACAAGCGGATTCCGTCTCTCGGTTTTTTTTGTTTTTTTAACATATAGTCTGTGTTTTGTAATGCGAACTTTTACACACGCTCGGAAAAGTCTGCCAATATATATCGACGTTATGCGCGTATTCGGCTTTTCGATAAAAAACTCGAACTCGATTATTGTCGCTAAATTCCCGCGAATTATAAATATATTTGTATACATGTGTTTTCACTTTTCCGATAAAAACTGTAAAAGTTTCTCCTGCGTATATAATTATACAATTGATTATCTGAAGCGTAAATACATATACTATATTATATACACACATAAAATATAGGAAAAACTTAGAAAAAATGGAAGCATTTTTCATATTTTTCCGTATTTTTGCATATAATATAATATGTTATAATTAATTTTACTCGTTTTTTTTAATTAACTTTAACTGTTCGCGCGACTAATACCCCTTTTCTCAGGACGCACAATAACTAAGATACACAAAATATCTTTACATTTAAGCGCTGATACTTTTAAATCCCAACAATTATTGTTAACAATACAAAAATAAGCAAATCGCGGCGCACACTAAAACCAATAATAGAAACTTATAATTTTTTTTTCTATACATAACTGATTATAATATTAAAATTTGAGCATGCGTCACGCGTCATATATCGTGAATTGTATAAATGATCATGTCTGCTTCCACATTATATAACAAATGCTTCGAGAAATGTAAAAAATATTGTAAGCGTTCACTTTTTGCGTTTGAAATTAAATTGCTGCTTTTAGCCAAGTGATCGCGAACATTTGTGTGTTTATATTTGTCACATTAGCAATGTTTTGGTGTACAAAGTGACAATGTGTTTACACCGCCTTTGGAAGAGAGCATCCAGTTTTGTTCTCTCAAGTAATAGTTTAGCATGCGTTTCAACAAATACAGGTGAACGATAAATTGAATGACTGACACAAGTAACTAAGTTATATAAGATTCGTTCGAATTTGACAAAATTTGACAAAAAAAAAAAACAATTTAAGGTTTAAAAATAAATATTTCAAATAATTTAGATTTATATTTATAACTTTTGTATGAATTTAATATAAACATTACAAATTGTGTCACTGTAATATTTTCAATATATGTGATTTTAGAATTTTCACTTAAAAAATGTATAAGTAGCATCTATACAATTAATAAATTCTTTAAATTATATGACACGAAAAGAGCGTAGTCGGAGAATTGTAGCAATGAATCGATAGCCGTGCTGGAGATACATTTTGACGTATCGCGCGCAAACCTATTAGTTTCACCATTATATGCTTTTTGCACATATAGACAAAAAACATATATATAAAACAATACAATATCATTAAGAACAAATCTTTATATACATGGTGTTTTAAAAACCGATTTTATAATCTTGTAAATGTAACAATATTATATCTAATTTAAAGGACATACATGTGTACCAATATATGTCTGTTAAATCGGATAAGATTAATCGGTTTCTTAGAGCATATGTAGCTTTATGTAGCTAAATGCGAATACAAATACATTTAATTACAAAAGTATATGTTTAAAAATTACTGAATAGGTTTGCTAGTACTTATGGCGGGAAGCTAGTTATATAGGAACGTGTGTGTATACTATTAGTAATTAGTTTTTTAAATACTGACACAGTAGTGCTCTCTCTCTCTCTCTCTTTTTTTTCTCTCAATTCTCGTATCAGTACTTAAAGTTTTTTTCTCGTCAAGATAAATCCTACCTGGATGCATTCGGATATTCATCGCAGTGATAGCAGTATTGCAGATATCTTTCAGATACACGCTGCATTAAGCTTTCGAAGAACTTGTGAGAGCTCTGGTTGACGTCATAGACTTCGTTGTCACTTCCTGCTTGCGTTAATGAGGCTCGCGAGGTAAGGCATTCGAAAGATGACGTCCATGGAATTCTAACAGAGCGCATTTTAAACATTTCTTATTTATATAGAGCAGTAGTAATATAATAGTCCTCCGTATCTTCAACATCTCATTATGTGGCAAAAGAAGCAATAAAAATAATTACGGTAACGTTTTTGTAGCTCTGCTTTTTGACATCACATTTTGTGCTAAAAATGAATGACCGACATGTACCCGTTGTTTTTAAAATACACAGTAGTATTTTCTCGGAAATAACTCCTCTCCATAAATCTGTGATATGTCACATATCCGTTACATAAATGTAAATTGTGTTACTGAGAAATACGTCAATATAATATATAAACTTATATATTATATATATATATGTATATATATATA